CATTGCCCTTGAAGTTTTGGTATGGGCCAATGTCAAAGACAGGATACTGGGCAAGATGGACCATGGTCTGATCCAGTATGGCAGTTCTTTTGAATCACAGAATATCAGGGTTGGAAGGGACCTCAGGAGATCGTTAGAAGCTGAAGGGGTTGGTTGACTTTTCACAAGTGCACACCATACCAAACACTCCACTATATATGGTAATTTGATGCTGAGTTAGCATGTTATTTTCTATGTACGGTTTGCAGTCCAGGAGGCCATAGATAATTTCTGTTCTTAATAAAAACTTTGGCAGCATCTACACTACCAAGTGTTTTGCCAATTTTCAGCAATAGTGCACCTGAACCAATGTAAGCACTTGAGTGTTTCCAGCATTGTGCCCTGAACCCATACTCTGACCAAGAATTCATAGACTGTAAGGCCAGACAGAACCATTGTGATCACTAGTCTTACCGCCTGTATAATACAGGCCATATGACTTCTCCGAATTAATTCCTGCTTGAACTAGAGCTTATATTTTAGAAAAAAACATCCAATTGTGATTTAAATATTGCTACTGATCAAGAATCCACCACAGCCTTTGGTAAGTTGTTCCAATGGCGAATTGCCCTTTCTGTGAAAAAAAAACTGCACCTTATTCATTATTTACTGTGTATTACTGTAGCTCTTAGGAGCCCTAATTCCAGTCTAAATTTGTCCAGGTTCAACTTCCAGCCTTTGGCTCTTGTTACACCTTTGTCTAATAGATTGTCCATGATCAAATTTCTGTTCCCCATGTAGGCACTTATAGACTGTGATTTAAGTCACTCCTTAATCTTCTCTTTGTTCAACTAAACAGACTGAGTTCCTGGAGTCTATCATTATACAGCATTTTTTCCAATCTTTTAATCATTTTGGTGGCTCTTCTCTGAACTCTCTCTGATTTATCAACATCTTTTTTTGAGTTTTTGACACCAAGACTGCATGTGGCAGGCACACAAGTGCCAAATATTGAGGTAATATAACCTCACTACTTCTTGTCACAATTCCCATTTACACATCCAAGGATCACATGGTATTACAGCAGGTGTTCACGTTCCACTGATTATCCATCATGACCCCAAAGTCTTTTTCAGAGTCATTGTCCGCTGTTCTCCAATTAGGGCCTACGTTTTTTATTCCCAGATATATACATTTACATTTGGATGTATTAAAACACATTTTATTAATTCAAAGCACAGTTCTGCAAATGCTAATCTATATAGCTCTTATATAGATACTAAAAAAACAAGCATTAACTTAACTGGTGCAAACATGAGTGCTGATGGCTACAAATAAAGTTTGACAGCAGAATTTCATACCTGTTTGACCCCAGCACGGAAGGGGGGGGCCAAAAGATGAAAACATTAATCTACTAAAAAATCTATTCATTCAAATATCATAATTTCCACTGCATCATAGGTTTGAGAATAGTACTTTACAGAAATATAAGAAAATACACACTCCCTGCTCTAAAGGGCTTACAACTTACCTAAAAGCAAAATAAAAACTTGAAACTGACAGAGCCATCAAAATGAAATTTGAGACACTGCAGTTGACACTAAAAATTTGCAAAAAGAAAAGGAGTACTTGTGGCACCTTAGAGACTAACAAACTTATTTGAGCATAAGCTTTCGTGAGCTACAGCATCCGATGAAGTGAGCTGTAGCTCACGAAAGCTTATGCTCAAATAAATATGTTAGTCGCTAAGGTGCCACAAGTACTCCTGTTCTTTTTGCAGATACAGACTAACACGGCTGCTACTCTGAAAACTAAAAATTTGATAAACTTTAAATTTATGAACTGGTGGGGAGTATTCCAGAGTCTGTTTTTTTAAGAGTGGATACTAGATTTATTAACGACACACAGACACTCCCCACCCCAAAACAGTATGCAAAGCCCCCTATTGGCTCTGCACAAGTAAGTAAACATAGCTGTACTTCATCAATGATGGCTGTGAAAAAATCAGTCAAGAAATGCCAGCAAGTTCTACTGCATTAAGACCATAGGGAAGAAAAAAAAAATGCATGCCTGATGCAAAAGATATCATGAACAGCAGAGAACAAACCACACTCCCACATTCTATATATAGTAGGTTTTATAGAATGCAAGCCTCCACTCATAATCTTGTCTAGCAAGTTAGTTGGCTCAAGATTTACAAATGCTTTAGCTTAACAGTAATGGTTGACTGAAATATTGAAATATCTACAAATATCTGAAAGTGCTTGTCTAGCAGTTTTTGTACCAATTTAAATCAGGAAAAAAACCTATTCAGTTAAATCGATTCAACCACCTAAACAATGAGGAATCCGGTGGCACCTTAAAGACTAACTGATTTATTTGGGCATAAGCTTTCATGGGTAAAAACATGCATCTGAAGAAGTGGGTTTTTACCCACAAAAGCTTATGCCCAAATAAATCTGTTAGTCTTTAAGGTGCCATCAGAATCCTCATTGTTTTTGTGGATACAGACGAATACGGTTACCCCTCTGATACTCAACGACCTAGTATACATGTAGTTATACCAATAGAAGAGTGATCATATTGTACTTAATCCGTACAGCTCCCTATTGTGGATTTAACTGAATCGGTACAAAAGCTATGTGTAGACACAGCTTTAACTGTTACCAGCAATCCTTAGATTTTCCTTGCTTTTTTCAACATTAGAGATAATGGAATGAAAACAGCCTTCCATTTTCTAACTGCAATATTTCAAAAGTGAATGTGAAGGATAAAATGCATTTAAATTTTTATTTCAGGTTCAGTAAATGCTATTTTATTCCCCTCAGCATTCTCTTAACATCTGATGTTTCAGCACAAATGACTCCTGCCTCCTTGTACTGTAGTTCAAGCTTTTGTACTTGTTTACTTCACAACTCTCCTCTGACATCCCTCTGTTCAGAAATGTCACTATTTTCTGTAGCCCACCACCTCTCACATTCTTTCACTTCTCCCTATAACCTCTTAACAGATTTTTGGCAGGAATATGTATGATAGAGATGGGGAAAGGAAGATGCTTCTTCATTTTCACATATAAATATATATAATTTACCATATAAGAACAAGTCACAGCCCTCATTTATACTGTTTTGCAATATCAATAAAAGGCACTAAGGTATCCTCTTGTCTTCAAAACTGCATAACATCCTTGAATGTTTAACATCAGTTCTTCATGAAACAGATTTTAATATTTATCCACACCCTAGTGATTTTAGAAATAATTCAGAGTCTAGCTGTCCAACCACTACTAAATCCATATATACAGTAGGAGCACTTCACCCGTATAGAAAAAGTGGTACACTATACCAGCAAAAAGAAAAGGAGTACTTGTGGCACCTTAGAGACTAACCAATTTATTTGAGCATGAGCTTTTCTTTTTGCGAATACAGACTAACACGGCTGTTACTCTGAAACCTGTCATTATACCAACAAGGTGCTCCTAACTTATACAGGCAAAGATGCACTTTTACTGGTACAGCTTATTCCACCCCTTGTTTCCGTGAGCAAAACAAGCTATACCAATAAAACTGCACTTTCTGGCCAGCATAATTGCATCTGCCAGCAGCTATGTTAGTCAGGGACCATACCCCATCCCAGATGAACAGAGCTAGGCCAGCAGAAGTCTGTAGATAAACATGGCCTGAGAGACACTTTAAAACTTGTGGCAATAGATAACTTCCCCCAATTACACTTTCAATAAGATGGGAAGATACATCAACAGTCACCCCTGTACAGCGCTTAAAGCGGTGTGAAAAAAGCATGAGAGGGGAAGAGTGCCATACTTTGGTAGCAACAGCTTCAGGAAGTGATTAAAGTGTGCCCCTCAATGACCCAGCTTGATTTTTAATTGCTTTTTCCAGGTCTGCAAACACTACCCCCAACAAACCCTTTCAGCACTATGGCGGGAAGGTATGAACAGGAGCTAGTGGGCACTAGGGCAGGGGTAGCAGGGAGGGTGGACGACTGGCAAGACCCCCAGCAGCGGGCAGAAAATTGGGTTACCCATTGCCACCACCAGTGCTGTTGGAGGGGTCAGTACAGCGTGGCAGCCGCCAGCCCCAGCCCCATGTAGATACCACAGTGATGGGCACTTCGAAAGCCCCGAGAGGACGCCCTGGGAGCAGGATGGGGAGTGTGTGTGTGTGTGTGTGTGTGCGGGGGTCACTGCCCCAACAGGCAAAGGGAAGGGAGCAGCCCAGCCCCCCACTGCCAGAGAAGTGAGTGTGTGGGGGGGTCACTGCCCCAACAGGCAAAGGGAAGGGAGCAGCCCAGCCCCCCACTGCCAGAGAAGGGGGGGGGGGGGGCGTCACTGCCCCAACAGGCAAAGGGAAGGGAGCAGCCCAGCCCCCCACTGCCAGAGAAGTGTGTGGGGGGGGGGGTCACTACCCCAACAGGCAAAGGGAAGGGAGCAGCCCAGCCCCCCACTGCCAGAGAAGTGAGTGTGGGGGGTCACTGCCCCAACAGGCAAAGGGAAGGGAGCAGCCCAGCCCCCCACTGCCAGAGAAGTGAGTGTGGGGGGGTCACTACCCCAACAGGCAAAGGGAAGGGAGCAGCCCAGCCCCCCACTACCAGAGAAGTAAGTGGGAGGGTGGCTGTCACACCTGCCCCAATACCTGAGGCGAGGGGAGCACCTGCCCCCCCCGTCGAGCAGCAAGGCGCACCCGCCCCCCTGCCCTGGAGGAGGAAGCCGGACTCTGACCCGCACCCGCCCCGAGTACAAAGGGGGAGGGGGAGCCCCAGGGAGAAGTAAGCACCCGCTGAAGTGAGCTGTAGCTCAGGAAAGCTCATGCTCAAATAAATTGGTTAGTCTCTAAGGTGCCACAAGTCCTCCTTTTCTTTGTGGGAATACAGACTAACCCGGCTGCTACTCTGAACTAGATCAGCAGGACACCCAGCCAAACTGGCCTCCTGGCGCCGCCCACCGGAGGCCAGGAGGCTCCTGTCCCATCCCTTCCCGGGGCAGAAGTGGGGCTTGGCCTCACCTCCGGCCAAGAGGCCTTCGCGAAGCGGGGAGCCCGCGGCTGGGCGCTAGCAGCCACCATCTTACCCCTCCTCCACCCCTTCGCCCGGGCGCGGGATGGTGGCGCCCGCCGAGCCCGCTTCACCCACGGACAGGTGAGCGGCTCCCCAACCGCCCCGCCCCGCGTCGGGCGCGAGGCGAGGCGGGAGCCAGGCTGGGGGAAGGTGAGGGCGGAGCAGCTAACGGTCTCCCTCAGCGCGCTCCCCTCTCAGCGCGCGCTCCTTCCCACCCTCCCGGTCGCCCAATCTGCGAGCAGAGCGGGATGAAGAGCGCGCGGGAGGGGACGGAAAAGCTCCTTGACAACCAATGGAGGACGGGGCGGGGCGGCTGAGAGTGGGATAGGTCGCTGGGATAAATTATTGTGGGAGGCGGGGCCTGAGACGAGCAGGGTTCGAAGGGGCGCAGTGTGAGGGGCCTGGGACGGACCATTTCAGAGTTAGAAGAGAGGGGGATTGAGGGCAAACCATTTCAGGGTTAGAAGGGTGTATGCGGCGGGGGGAGGGGCAAACCCTATCAGGGCTGGGAAGGAAAAGAGGGGGTTGGGGCAAACCATTTCAGGGGCAGTGGGAGGGGGAGAGAGGGAAGTGAGGGTAAACCATGTCGGGCCAGAATGGGGCCGGGGTTTGGGATGAGGCATTTCATGGTTTAGAAGAATTTGGGAGGGGGTTGGGGCAAACCATTTCAGGATTAGAAGAGAGTGTGGGGGAGTTGGAGCAAACCACTACAAAGGGTAGGAGCAGCGTGCCCACACCAGGAGTTACTTTGTGACCCAAGTACAGGGCCTGGGCTATGGCCTTGTTTCCTCAGCCAGCTCCAGTTGTCATGGTGCTCACAGCTCCATGCCCAACTCCTGGTGTGAAATGAGAAGCTGGGGGGCCCATTCTCAGCAGCCAAGTGTGTGCCTGTGAAAGCCACTGTCAGTGTCTGCACTAACTGGCTGCAGTGGGGCCAGGTGCAGGGCAGCCATCAACCTGCAGGCTGGGTTGATGCTGCACTCACCTGCTTATTGTGGAAAAATTACTTGGCTTTCTGTGTTTCTAAATCAAAAGCAGTCAAACCCTTAGAGACATGTTCCACCCACATCCCACCCGCCAGACTTCCCCTTACAGCCGGGGTCACTCGGTGCAAAGACTGAAGGTGCAATCCATCCCATGCGCGGAGTGAGATTGGGAACCTGAGAGCCAGCTGTGGACCAGGACCCGCAGCACAGAGATGTAACTGCAGTAAGAGTCCTGCTCGAGCCTATGATGAAGCATGCCAGTGCGTACAGAATCATCACTGAATTTAGCTGCTAAAATCTAAGAAATCTCTACTAAACTTGCATGAACTGTGATTGAAAATTTTCAAAGGCTTATATCTTGCACAAATTTGGGCAGATTTTTAGGGAGACAGCAAAAGGCACAATCTTGACATAAAGGCCACTCACTCCCTGTCAAATTTCAAGTCCCTGCTCCAACACATAGACTTTAAGGACAGAAAGGATCATTATGATAATTTAATCTGACCCCCTACACCTGACAGGCCACAGAACCTGACCCACCCACTCCTGTAAATAGGCCCTAAACCTCTGGCTGAGTTACTGAAGTTCTCAAACCTTGATTTAAAGACTTCAAGTTACAAAGAATCCACAATTCATTCTAGTTCAAACCAGCAAGTGACCCCTTGCTGTAGATGATGGTGAAAACCCCCCATGGTCTCTGCCATCTGACCTAAGGGAAAATTCCTTTCTGACCCCAATTGTGGCAATTAGGTAGACCTTATCCTTAACTTCTCTCTCTTTCAGAATTTGTTCTAAGACCTTGCATACAGTTCAGGTCAAACTAACTGGCCAGTAGTTCACTTTTTTCCCCTTTCATAAATAGGGGTACTGTATTTGCAATTCTCAAGTCAGAGTAGAACCCCCGAGTTTAGAGATTCATTAAAAATCCTTGCTATTGGGCTTGCAATTTCATGTGCCAGTTCCTTTAATATTCTTGGAGGGAGATTATCAGGGCCCTCCAATTTAGTCCCTCTAAACTGTTTGAGTTTAGCTTCCACATCCTTCTTCCATTAGCCACTGCCCCCAAGTTCCTCATTACCCTGTTAAAAACTGAGGCAAAACATTCATTTAGGTGTTGGACCACACCTAGATTATTTTAAATCTCCTCACCATCCTCAGTGTTTAGCGGTCCCACTTCTTCTTTCCTAGTTTTCTTTATATGGCCAAAGATTCTCTCACTATTTGTTTTAATTTCCTGTGCAAGGTCCAACTGTGCTTGGCTTTTGACAGTTCTCATCCCCCCCCAACTTTCAGACCTTTAAATGGTAGCTGATCCATCCCTTCTTCCATTCCTTATAGAATTCCTTCTGCTTTTTAATTAACTATTTGAGATGGTTGTTCATCCAATTTCATCTGCAACCCTTCTCTACACTTTTCTCCTTTCTTGGGTTGCAGGGTTTTGCAACTTTGACTTAAAGCAATTCCAAGCCTCCTCCACGTTAGTCCACTCCACTTCTCTAACTAATTTCCTTAATTTTCTGAAGGTTTACCCTTTTGAAATCCAGGACTCTAGTTGCCAACCTATGTTTGTTTATCCTTCCATTTAAGTTAAACTGAATTAACTCATAATCACTCAAACTAAGGTTGTCTTCTACAAACAATTTTTCTATGAGGTCCTTGATACTTACCAATACTAAATCTAAAACGGTATCACCTCTTGTTGGTTCGGTGACTGTTTGGTGAATCAATCTGTTGACTTTCACATCGAGGAATATCTGGGCCCGACCATTATTAGAAGCACTAGTCCTCCAAACTATATCTGGGAAATTAAAATCTCCCATAATCACTCAATTCCCAGTAGCATTTATTTCATTAAAAATAGTAGAGCTCCCTATCCATATCCAAACGGGATCCTGGGGGGGGGTCTGTAGGAGACCCCAAGCACTATCCCAGTAGAGCCTTTGTTATCTTTTTTCCCAATGGAGGTGCTAGATTTTAACAGGCAAAACAATGTATTTTTCCCTAGCATCATTCTTGGAAATGGATTAATTGTTGTGGCTGAAATTTCCGCAAACATTTAGTCGATACCCCTGGCCACAGAAACCTGGCATGGAAAATTTCAGCCCAGACAGTAAAAGTTTGCAAAAGTTATAAGAAACTGAAAACAGAGTCTTATAATGGAAAGTGTTGAACAATTTTAATAATAGGTGGTCCTATCAGCCCTGCCTTTAATAATGTGTTTTAGTGGCAGTGTGCTTGCAGTGATGTGTTTTTCTCTCTGTAGTGGTTGTTTTCTTAATTTTTGGTGAGATTAGTCATTGAAAGACGTAGTGAGAAAACATCAAACATTTTAGTTCATGTGAAAAACAGTGGAGGGAAAAAGAAGTCCACTGGTTATTTTCCATTTTTTGACCACTTCAGGTTAAATTTAATTTAAATTACATATGTCTCCAGAGAGTAATAGAGTTATCTATTTCATTTCAGTCAGTCTAATAATTTATTTTAAGATTAATAGAGTACCTCTAATTATTTACCACCTGTAAGGTATATTTCAATGCAACCTCATAACAAGCAAAGCCATTTTTTCCTAACTTTGGTGCCTAACTGGAAGTGCTTAAGTGCATGAATAAGCAGATAACTAAAGCAGTTAGATTTTCAGAAGTACTGAACTCACACAGCTCCCTTTGATACCAATGGGTGTTGCTTAACATGTCTGACAATCAAGCCACTTTCAGTTAGTTGCGTATATTATGTGTTTAGGTGTCTAACTTTAAGCATCCACATTTGAAAATTGTGATCTGTGTTTATTAAAAAAAATATATATATCCAGCCCTTGGTAACATAAAAGCCTTTCACATATTAAGAGGCAGTAAGAAATGTGTGTATGTAGCTGAAATAATAGATACGGCTCCCATGAAAAGAAGAAACTGTGTTTATTCCTGGTGCATATACAGTAGTACCATATAAATATTCTGAGAAGAGCTTGCGCAATTGGTGGCGGAGGGAAAAGCTTTTCTTGACAAACCAGCATAAGCATATTCTACACAGTCTCTCCTTTGTCACATTCAGAGAATCCAGAAAGTCTAAAGCACTACAGATTAATTTCTAGTTCAAGCTTAAAAAAATAAAACAAAAAACTCTATAAGCAACCTAAGAACTGACTGATACTGAGGAATCTTACATAATCTGAAAAGACTGCACTAAAAAGACTCTTCAGGGACTCATTCCTATGTCAATACCACAGCCAAACAATTCTTCAATCGCACAAAAATATCCTTGCCCAAAATAAATGAAAATAGAGGCCTTTTTTCATTTTTTTCCTTCGTGGGTAAGTAGCCAAGCATCACTTATATGTCTCATTGATGGATTTCATGATAAGACTTTCAGCAAAAATAGAGTAATTATTATTTGACTAAGTTTATTTGACCAAGTTTGGAAATTAACAGTCTGTTTGATCTCTCACTTAATAGGTAAACAAGAAGGTAGCCATTTCGAGCTGCGTCAACATTTTTTAAAATGTAACCCTAGAAAACAGTGTCTAACTTTTGCTGACTTTATAAACAATTTTATGTAACAGGCTAAATTGGACTTTTATTACCTTGGACAACTTGGAGTACTTCTGCACAACAGTACACTCATCAAGATTAACACTTGAGTTAAGTTTAGAAAAGCTTGGATGGGAACACTTCAAATGGGAGCTGCCAATAAACATTTTAATAACAAACAAACAAACAAAAAAGGTAACTTATTTCACAATGATAATTAGATTTTTAACCCTATCTGTAACTGAAGAATACTGGGACAATTGCTGTCATTGAGAAGGATTCCTTTTATCTTTTATAGTCCCAATTCCTCTTGTGCCTTAATAGAGGCTTTTATTTTTAAATATTTAACACAAATAATATTACTACTTGGAGGGTTTTAAAAACAGGTTAGACAAACACATGTCAGGGATGGTCTCAGTGCAGGGGACTGGACTAGACTGAGATCCCTTCCAGTCCTACATTTCTATGATTCTTTATCAATTTTCTTATATCCCAAAGGCAATTTTAGTTTTGTAGCGTCAGAATGATGTCTGTCAGGCAAACTTGGCACTCATCATACACGGTTAATAAGACAAGTCTTCAAGATCAGTGCTAGTTAAAACACAGGTAGTTTTACTGGCATTAAGAAGGGAGGCACAACAGTGGCCAAGAGATTGCAGCTACCCCCTGCTCCTGTCCAATAGTAACGGGTAATCTTTAAAGAAAAACTGATTTTTTTTTTAATTAAGAAAAATGATGATCCCAAACTGCACGTGGAGATTTATATAAAAAGCACAAGGAGCTGCCTTACTGACCACCTAAAACAACCCTTCTTGTGCACCTTCTTGTTCTTTAAGGTATTAATGATATCATCCTTTGCAGGAGAAACAGCAGAAAGTGAACTTCGTCTTGACAGGTAACAAGCCTTCCAGTTCATCTTTAACTTCCTGTTCTGGTAGTTAGAGGATGCTTAATTTAACATCTTGACATTGATCCAGAATGGGTTAAGACCACATTGACTACAGTGGGCATATGAGCAGAACCCTTCTGTGAAGACAAGCACATCTGCCAACATAACGTACTACTATCACTGAAAAATAAAAGACCTTTGTCTGTGCAACTCCACCTAACCTACAGGCCAATCACACAGAAGCACCAATATTAAATCATTGACATAGCTAACTTTTAATGAGTAATTCCACAGATTTCTTTTACAGCAAGCCTGAGGAGTTTTAATGAATATAAGCATTTTTCATACACATTTCACTTCACAGTAATGGCTACAGCAAGGCAACGATGAAATGCTCTTTGGACAATGGTTATTTCAAACAAATATTAAACAGGGCTAGTTCATCATCTTGGGCTCCTTCCAGACCCATTCAATCAGGACCCTACTCATTCATCCCCCTCACTCCTCTTCCCCACACCTCACTTCTGAGTTCACATTATTTACTTAAAAAAAATACACACAGCTTCTATAAATTAGTTTAGGGTTAGAGGGAGTGAGGAAGAGGAGGCCCTGAGTGGGGTGGGGGGGAAGAGGTGCAAAGATGGAAAAAGCAGCAGTAGCCAACATGAAGTAGCAGCAGTCAAAGGGGCCCCAAATTTTTGGGTGCAGGTTTGAGCACCCAGGAAGTAAGGTGGCTAGAGAAACCCTCAGTAAGAGCCAGCAGCAGGGACTAACCCGAAGGCCTTGTTTGGGGGCCACATGAAGCTGTTGGGAGGATGGGGGCAGTAGTGAAGCAGTGAGGAAAGTGCGGGCCTGGAAAACCCCCTAGTTTAGGGCAAAAGAGTTAGACAGCTGGGAAGAACAGGGCATGGAGTGTGGGTGGCAAGCAGGCCTCAGATCCATAGGGCACTGCACAGGCTCTACTCAGCATTTTCTTATCAAAGGCAGGATTGTTACTCCCTCATGCATATTTGTGGCACTGTCCCCCATCCCCCAGAGAGAGCCCTCTATGTGGCTGAGATTCATGTTGGCAGGGAAGGAGTGGACATCTCACCTTGGGGAGGGGACATGTCCCTTCATTGACTTTGAAGAGATTGTGTGGGAACAGTCATACCGCCTGGGGTTTTGGCTGCCTCCTGAAGGTTTTTGGCACTTTTTCTTTTTTAAGAATCACAAGGCACATGGTCCTAATATTTTATTTATGTGTTCTTAGTACCTTTATTTAGGCTTGTCTACACAGAAAGTTGTACTCTTTTAACTATTAACTATACTTGTATATTTAAAGTGGTACAACCTCCTTAGCATGGCTACACTTAGACCTGGTGTACACTAGAAAGTTTTGCCAGTGAAAGTTTCCTTTTGGCAGTACAGTTTTGCATACGTCTACACTCAGGCCTCATCAACACTACAAAGTTAGGTCAGCTCAACTACATCACTCAGGACTGTGAAAAATTTTACATCCTGTGCAACATAGTTAAGCCAACCTAGGCCCCAGTGTAGACAGTGGTAGGTCACCAGAAGAATTCTTCTGTCAAACCTACCTACCACCTCTCAGAGATGGGGATTTACTACATCGATAGAAGAACCCTTTCTGTGGCTGTAGCAAGTGCCTAAAACTACAGTGGCACAGCTGTATCACTGTAGCATTTCTAGCATATACGTACCCTTATTTGTGATTTCTGCCAACCAAAACCTCAACATTTGCTGACAAATTTAAACCAATTATACTGGTATAAAGTTTATATCAATATAGTTTATTCCCATAAAGGATGAGGAAGGCATCTTTATACAAGTATGATTGTGTGCAGACTAGGAGTTGTATCGGCGTACCTATTTCAGTAAATATCACACCCCGACATGAACTTGTGCATAGCCCAGGCCTTTATTACCAGTATCCTGGCCATGGCAGGGCAGCTGTGGGTATACTATTGACCATTGTGCTCCCTCTGCTGACCTTGCAACAGTAGAGTACATACTGATATTACATCATCTGCATACATTGCTCGCCCATGTGGTCAAGTATTAAAAGCAAAATTCTTATTTCAAATGCAGACAGAGTACAATCCATTCCTATTCCTTCAGAGAGAGTTAACAGTAATGACAGAAAAAGCTCTCATCAATCAGCAATTTAGGAGCGGTGCAGAAAGCCTGATGCAAGGAACGTTCACAGTGAACATTTTAGCCAGAGTGTAGCAAAAACACACGCTATTGAAAGAAATGGGCAGCACACTGCTATTAAAAAGCCTTACAATACCACAAAAATAATCCGATATAAAAACATTTGACACATACTGTGATAAAATTCCTATTCCCACCTCCCCTTTCAGCATTTCAATATATGCAGCACTATATTCAGAATAAGTTTTGATCCATCCAATGGAGGGCAGCAGGTCCCAGATCCAGCACCACCCAAATAAACCCAGGGCACCTCACATAGAGTAGGGGCTGGATTCCTTAGCAGCCCCACTGGACTCCTTAATATTCCTCACCCATGCCAAGCCTCCTCCCTCTGCCCCAAAGAGACTCTTCAAGCTATATGTAACCATCCACTATGTCATGGGAGGAAACCAAAAATTCCCAGCAAAGCTCCCAGACACAGAGCTGGGGAGCAGTGTCTCTGTGACAGGCTCCTCTATGGTTCCAGAGCCCACGGAAGTCCCTCTCTGCAGAGCTGTGGGTCCTTGGTTTTGGGTGAGCTAATCAGCTAGTGGAAGTCAGTATAGAGATCTCCTCTGTACCATGCAAATTCCCATGGGACTGATACAACCAGCAATAATTGGCCTGTCTTCACTCTCTTTCAGGGAGGGAAGTATGGTACAGGTCACAGAGGGAGAGGATGGGCCACAAGAGTGCTGTGGCTGGGTCAAGGATCTTCAGGAACGGAGCCTAGTTGCCCAGCACAGCCCAAGTCTCCTTAATCTCCCTCCCCATACACCTCTCCCTTAAGGGGAAGCAAGCAGCAGAAACTCCTGCTCCTGAACTTTACAAGACTTTGCTGAATATTTCTCTGCTCTCCTATGTGCTTCTCCACTTAGCCCTTGATTTGTCAATGACTCGATGATGCATCAGGTTCCTTCTGCCTTTTGGCCCAGTTCCCAAGGACCCTTTTGTAATACACACTGCTCAAGTTCTGCAAATAAAAGGTAAAGACAAAGGAAGACATGATGGAAGGGAGTGAGAGAGTGAATGAATTTCCCAGCCTATCAGACAAAGTTTGTTAAGTAAGGCAGATGTGCCACACAGGATTCCTCATTTATTTGTTGGTAGTTTTTGGCCACCAGTTAGGTATAGATGCAGTAAGGTTCACACTAGTGTCGCCTGGTAAACTGATATGAAGTGGCTCATTTATGTTAGCTAATCGCAGCAAAGCTATGCCAAGTTCATCTCCACCAGCGCGGTACTTGCCAGCTGACTTTCCCGATTCAGTTAAGATTGCAGCACCCTCGGGAATGCTTCCCAATGGCAAAGGAGCTGAAAGCTGCACTGGCAATAGGCGTTTGCGGATGACACCCATGTGGTGGGTCCTGGCTGTTAACTCCTGCCCAATATAACAGCCTTTGGTAAAACTGATGCCATTCATGTAGGCCAGGTTGGATTCCAGTGGCAAGGCTACTCTTGGGGGGATGTCTTTTACACCTTCAGCTATTCCTGGGGGGAAAACAGAAGTAACTGGTAAGTTTTGTCAGGCTCTCACAATATATAGCACTTTTAGCATCCATCTTGTTCGCTGAAAACTGTAATTTGGAAAAAAAAAAAAAAGTAGAAATAGTTTGAAGTTATTGGTTTTTCAATACTTTGGTTGGAGACCCAAGTTGAAATCACGAGTCATAACTGAGCAAGGCTAGCAAATGCTGATTTAAAAGGTGAGCCAAAAAGCTGTATCAGAGCCTGATCTGCTGACGTTTTGAGCATTCACAAGCACACTACTGAAATGGAGGGCAGTCAAAACCAGGCAGTCAAAACCTGGACCCAAATGAACTTGTATACATTTAATACAAAGGGCCATATCCTGCTCACCTTAATCACATAAGTAGACTTTAGGGTAAAAAAAAGTGTTATTTTTGGTCAAAAGCTATGTAATAAACATAGGATGGTCAAATGAAAATACCTCTTCAGCAAACAGACCAATTATATGTTTTATCTTAAAAGTCAGGGCATACAGAGAAATAAAAAACATCAAATTAGTTAATAACAGCTTTATGGAAACATTAGTATTTTCTCCTTTTTGACAATATAAATAACTTCTGATGACAGATTAGTAAAGGAAATACTCAGTGTGGGTCCATTAAAAACTATGCACCCATCTTCATTATGACCACAGATTCATTATACTGTAGGCCGGTTTCGCTCGTTTCGCAACTGGCCCGCACCTTTTGGTCGCCCGCCCTCACAGGCCGGGAACGCAGCGCTTTTCACACGAGAATGAAACAATCCCCCCCACCCCACTGTCCGCGGTAATAGCTTTCTAAAGTGATCAACAGGGGGCCTTTCCAGCACAAATCCAGGTTTCTCACCCTCCACCCCCCACACAAATTCCCCCGCTGGTGCTAGCCCATCCAAAGTGACAACTCTTTACATAATCAAGTCGGGCTTTTCCTGCATAGATCCAGGTTTTCTCCTTCCCCCCCCCCCAACACACACAAACCACCCCGCGGTAAGCTCCTAAACGACCACCTCCAAGTTTAAATCCAAGTTAAACCAGAAATCGGGGGGGGGGGTGGAAAAGGGAAACAGGCTCCTGCATAATGACTTAGCCCCCCAGTCTCTATTTAAGCCTAAATTAATAGTATCCAATTTGCAAATGAATTCCAATTCAGCAGTTTCTCGCTGGAGTCTGGTTTGAAGTTTTTGTTTTAAGATAGCGACCTTCATGTCTGTGATTGCGTGACCAGAGAGATTGAAGTGTTCTCCGACTGGTTTATGAATGTTATAATTCTTGACATCTGATTTGTGTCCATTTATTCTTTTACGTAGAGACGTCCAGTTTGACCAATGTACATGGCAGAGGGGCATTGCTGGCACATGATGGCATATATCACATTGGTGGATGTGCAGGTGACGGCCTCTGATAGTGTGGCTGATGTTTTAGGCCCTGTGATGGTGTCCCCTGAATAGATATGTGGGCACAATTGGCAAGGGTTTGTTGCAAGGATAAGTTCCTGGGCTAGTGGTTCCATTGTGTGGTATGTGGTTGTCGGTGAGCATTTGTTCAGGTTGGGGTGTCTGTAGGCAAGGATGCTTCTCCCAAGATTGTGAGAGTGTTGGGTATCCTTTAGGATAGGTTGTAGATCTTAATAATGTTGGAGGGGTTTTAGTTGGGGGCGAAGGTGACGTAGTGGGTTCTGTTATTTTCTTTGTTAGGCCTTTGTAGTAGGTAACTTCTGGAACTCTTCTGGCTCTATCAATTGTTTTTTATTCTGAGGTGGGTATTGAGTTGTAGAAAGTTGACAGAGATCTTGTAGGTGTTTGTTCTGTCTGAGGGGTTGGAGAAATGTGGTTGTATGAGAGTTGGTGTAGACGATGGATCGTGTGGGTGGTCAGGGTGAAAGTGGAGGCATGAGTAGGAATAGCGGTCAGTAGGTTTCCGGTATAGGGTGGTGTTTATGTGGCCATTGTTTATTAGCTGTAGTGTCAGGAAGTGGATTCTTGTGTGGATGGACAGGCTGAGGTTGGTGGTGGGATGGAAATTGTTGAAATCATGGTGGAATTCCTCAAGGGCTTCTTTTCCATGGGTCAGATGATGAAGATGTCATCAATATAGCGAAGTAGAGTAGGGGCTTTAGGGGCGAGAGCTGAGGAAGCGTTGTTCTAAATCAGCTAAAAATGTTGGCATACTGTGGGGCCATGCGGGTACCCATAGCAGTGCCGCTGATCTGAAGGTATACATTGTCCCCAAATGTGAAATAGTTATGGGTAAGGAGCTCAGACTCTAATATATTAAATACTTAAGGTAAAAATATAGTTTAACTGAAGTATTTCCTGTTATTATCCAATAGTAGACTAATTTTCAGTAGGAGCTTCAGGTGCTCAGTACCTATGAAAATTAGGCTGCAAGTCCTCTTCTTTATTTTTTAAACCTAGAACTGTGGTTAAGACAGGCTCTGATACTGTCCTGTAATCTGATTTGGAAGGGCAGACCCTGTAAAGTTTAAGGCCAAAAGAGGGGAATTAGATCATCTAGTCTGAGCTCCTGTATATCACAGGCTATTAAATATCACCCAGTTATCCCTGTATTGCTCCCAATAACTTATGTTTGACTAACGTGTATCTTCCAGAGAGGCATCCAGTCTTGATATGAAGACAACAAGAGATGGAGAATCCAGAACTTTCCTTAGTAGTTTGTTCCAGTGGTTAACCAGCCTCCCTCACTATTAAGTTTGTGCCTTATCTTCAGTTTGAATTTGTCTGGCTTCAGCTTCCAGCCATTACTTCATATTATGCCTTTCTCCACTAGATTACAGAGCCCATTAGTACCTGGCATTTCCTCCCCGTGAAGATACTTATACACTAATTGTGTCACCTCTCCATCTTCTTTTTGATAAACTAAACAGATTGAGTTCTAGGACTCTTGCTAGTAGACATTTTTCTCCAGCTCTCAAATCATGTTTGTGGCTCTTTCATGCAGTCTCTCTAGTTTTTCAAAATCTTTTAAAATATGTGGACAACAGTATTCCCGTGTTGGTCTCACCAATGCCAGACATGAAGGCAAAATCACCTCCCCACTCCTGCTCTCTCACTACTCTCCCTTATACTCAAGGATTACGTTTGTTTACTTTCCAGGATACAGTCCCGCATTTTGGAAATATGGCCTACATTCCGTTTCTCGATGTCTGACTTCATATTTGGCTGTTTTAAAATACCTTTTGTTTGAATGTGCCAAGCTTACCAAGTGCTCCAGATCCAGTCTGTATGACTGCCCTGTCCTCATCATTGTTTATCTCTGTCAATCCTTGTGTCGGCCACAGCGATTTTATATTTACTTCCAGATCAGTGATAAAGTGTTGAATAACACTGGGCCTAGCACGAATCCCACTAGGACCAACCCCATTTAGTGATGATTTCCCAGTGACAAATACTTTGCAATCTGTCTGTTTGCCAGGTCTTAAGCCATTTAATTAGTGCTTTGCTGACACTGTATACTGCTCACTTTTCTACATCAGAATATCATGCATTACTAAGTCAATTACCTTACAGAAGTCAACCACACTTGTAATCTCAAAGAATGGTATCAGGTTTGTTTGACGAGACCTATTTTTCATAAAACCACATTGACTGGCATTAATTATATTCCTATCCTTTTATTCTTTATCAATTGAATCTCATTTCAGATTTTCCATTCATTTGCCTAGGATTTGTCAAGCTAACCAGCCTATAGTTATTCAGATCATCTTCCTTGCCTTTTTGGAATACTGGCACAACATCAGCACTCTACCAGTCTTCTGAAATTGCCCTGGCATTCTGAGATTAATTAAAAATTCACATCAGTGGGCAGAGCTCTTCATCCCACTGTTTTAGGACCCTTGAGTTCAAGTTATCCAGGCCGGTTAATATCTAGTGGATGATGATTAATATCCTCCTTAGTTACTAATAGAATGTAAAGTACTTCATCAGACATATATGATGCAAGTACACCATTCTGCTTCTTTCCAAATACAGAAAATAATATCTATTGAACATTTCTGCCTTTTCTGCATCATTATTAATAATTTTACCATCTCCATCTATGGGCTTATACCATTTCTTGGATTTCTTTTGTTCCTAATATATTTGATTTTAAGTAAAATCTCCTTATTGTCCTTAGCCCTGCCAGCCATAGATTCTTCCCTGACGACTTTAACTCCCCTTACTATCCGCACTTAATAACAATAAATATAAATTAGAAGTTATCTATTCCTCCTTTTTCCTTTGGTTATATGTTGCTTTATTTATAATTACTGTCTTTGCTCTGCAGCTGAATCAGGATAGACTTTTGGCCAAAATTGTCCTTTTTCTTGATTGTGGAATCGTGGCTTTTTGGCCATCTAATAAACTGTTCTTAAAGAACTCTCAATCTTCATTCACATTTCTCTGTCTAAATTTTCCCTTTCCATCAACTTCACTCATAATTTTCCTCAGCTTTGGGAAATTAGCCCCTTTGAAGAACCAAGAATATATACTACATTTCTCCCTTTGCCCACATTAAATGCAACTTCCTGTCCAGTGATTCGTTTCATCTGATGCCTGGCTGGAGTCCGATGGAAGTCAGTAGGGCTCTGCATGGGCACAATGGTGAACCCACACACATGAGATTGCAGTATCTTAGTTACCAACTCAAAGCAAATACATATCGCTTTGATCGTAAATTTCTTTATGAATCCAGTCATACATTTTTACTAAACAGGCCAAGTTTGATTGTTTTTTCCCCACAGCAACAGGCAAACAAACAAGCAAGCACAGTTAATATTCCAAAAATAATCAAAATGACTCAAACCACAAAAATGTCTGACCATATGGAAACCAGTAATCCTATAGGCATGCCCACATCCATACATGTATTAAAAACCCCAGCAGCTGGATACTGTATTCAAAATATAGTTATAGTTACGAAATCAAATTTAGTCCAGAAGTATTAAACAAGAGCTGTATTTACTACCCTGTCAGCAAACACATTCAGACATCCAATAATTAGCATTTAACTTCTAGCGTCTTGCATTAGATCTTGAGTATGGAGTTCTCACAGTAACATACATCTCCCTCATTTTGCTAATACACTAGGGTTTAAAACTTAAATCGGCTTTACCTTGTTTGTACCTGTGCCTATGATAATCGCTAACATTTCCTATATGACTTCCAGGGACAATTTCTAGTGGATTTTCCTCTTTGTTTGTAATCAATCTCCAACCCATGACTTCTGCTCTGGGATCAGGAGTTAAAACCAAAGTTTTGTCTGCACATTTATCAAGGATACTGGAAACATCTCCAGACTGTTCCTCTGGGATGACTGCCCACAAAGAGAGATCAAGGCAGGGGGCTACATCTACTTTCCTCCGGATCTTGTACAATTTCAAATGCTTTTGAACAGAATCCAGCATTGAGCAGTCACACTCCAGCAGGATATTTGGTTCCTCTTCTTGACTTTTATGAAGCCTGAAACAGTAACACATACAACGTTAAAAGAAACAGAAGAAGTAGTTTCAGCAGAGCTTTTTACCTTAATCCTGAGCCAAGTCCAATGATATGCAGAATTTACTGAATGCTACTGGTGCTGATATGGGCGGTACTCAACCTTTTGGACAACTATGAAATATTTGCACCATACTTTTTTCTGTTAAAAAAAAAAAAAGAAACCAAACAAAATTGTAAAATCATATAGGAACGGAAATCTAGACGTAGATTCACCAAGTCCCACCAAACCTATCCAAGTTATTCTATTATTGCAAGGTAAACTCCTGCCTTCACTCTCAACGATGCTAGCCATAAGCACCCAATTCTCCACGGCTCTGACAAATGTGTTTTCACCCATACCTGCCCCCCTTCAATGAGTGGGAAAAGACCCCCAGTCCCAGTAAGCCATCATTTTACCCTCCTTCAGAGGCGGATTTGCCATGAAACAAACAGTGCGGTGGCACGGGGACCCCCATGACAAGGGGGTCCCCAAAATGCAGGACAAATCTCATCTGGCAACGTGCCCCCCAGCCCTGGCTGGCAGCACAGCAGGGCTCAGGCAGGCAGGCTGCCTGCATGCCGTGGCCCCACGCCGCTCCCGGAAGTGGCTGGTTGCTGGCACATTTCTGCGTGCCCCTGGCAGGGGAGGGGGGAGGTTCCACACACTGCTCCCGCCCCAGGTAGTGCACAAAGACCTGCTGCCTCCCTCCCCAAAAGGGGCGCGCAGAGACATGCCAGCAGCATGGCTAAGGCAGCTCCCTGCCCGCGCTACCTCCCTCCCTCCACACCACTCCACTCCCAGAAGCAGCCGGCATGTCCCTGCAGCCCCTGGGGGGAGTGTCTCCACGCATTGCTCCCGCTCCGAGCGCCACCTCCGCAGCTCCCATTGCCTGGGAACTGCGGCCAAAGGGAGCTGTGGGGGTGGCGCCTGCATGCAGCGGCGTGCAGAGACCCCCTAGCCTAGCCTCCCCTCCCCTGCCTGCCTAGGAGCCGCTGCCAGAGGGGTATGCATGTTGCTTTGGGAGCCGCGCTGCCCAAGGTAAGCGCTACCCCCCTGACCCCTCCTGCACCCCAATCCCCTGCCCCAGCCCAGAGCTCGCACCCAAACTTTCTCCCAGAGCCTACACCCCTCACCCCCTCCCACATCCCAACCCCCTGCCCAGAGCCCACACCCAGTACCCAAACTCCCTCCCAGAGCCCAACCCCCACACCCCCTCTTGCACCCCAACCTCCTGCCCTAATCAAGATACCTCACTTTATTTTCATTTACTTCCTGTTACTTATAATATAAGAGGAGGATGACAGAAAAAATAATGAAAAATGGGGTGGGGGGAGATAAGAAAGAATGCTTTTTCTTGACTGGGTCCCAAGGGGGGGCCCTCAATAATGAGGGTGGCACAGGGCTCCACTAACTCTAAATCCACCACTGCCCTCCTTGAAGTCCCTCCTCAAAATTACGCCTTCCATAATGCGTAGATTAAACTGTAACCTGATAACAACTAGGAAGATGAAGCCTGTGATCACTACTACTGAATAGCTAAGAACTGCACACATTCTATTATATTAGTTATCCTGTTTCCCCTACCCCGGCCTGCTTGTTCATATCATCCACTTGTTATGGGCAACAACTGTATGTTTTTGTACAGTGCCTATCACAATGGGGCCTGATCTCTCTATGCCTTTTATGCACGACCACAATATAAATGTTAAGTAATAAAAATAACTGAGCTGAGAATATCCAAGAGCCCAATTTGTCACTCCTTACAATTATGTTAAGGAGTTGTGAAACGTTGCCATTCTACTCTGGTAGCAGTTTAAACCAAGTTTGCACAGATGTAAATGACTGCATAAGGCAGTGGAAAAATCAGAGCCAATATGTTCGTATATCATCATAGTACATTTTTAGAGTTGGTGCTTCAGTACTATAGTGATTGATACATTAGGAACAGGCACCTCATTATTACTTATTTACATTGTGCTAATGCGTACAGACTCCACCCGGCAATCAAGAGTCCATTGTGACGGCACTATTTACAGATTAAAAAAAAGACATGTAACTATGATAAACTGCATAAAACATCTTGGGGGATTATTGTATGTGAAATGGGAAATACACAAAAATTCTTAAATACTAGTGACAGGAATTACCTCTGAAGAACAGAAGTGAAGGGAGAACAAAACAATACAAATTAATTTAAATGGGGAAAGATGAGACCTTTCATCCACCTTTTTTTTTTTTTTAAATGAACGAGAAAAGCTGAATTAATGCATGTTGTAGGGCTGATATGGCCCGGATCCTGCAAAGACTTACACATGCGCTTGACTTTACACAGTTAGTGGTCCCATTTATTTTATCATAAAGTTGACCATGGACATAGGCAAGTTCAGGCCCTGTAACATTAGCTATACCTAGTTGACATTAAAAGATCACCACCATTTTTCAACAGGATTTTTTCCCCAACAGTTATGCATAATAAACCACCATTGCAAACGTGAAACAAAGGCATCTCTCCCTCCATGGCATGGGCCAGCAAGTTTATTATTGTAAAGTTGCTTTAATTTGCAGTGGGCTCATGACTTGAGTGACCTTTTTAAAAAAATCACACCAAATAATTTAAGAAGGCCCCAAATGAGCAAGATACTTAAACACACGCTTAATATAAACTGCACCCATTTCCAGGGCTTAATTGTTTTGCTCAATCAGGTCTTAAATTAACTTTGCAGACACCAAATCTGGCCAAGTTATACCATTAGGGACACTGCGTCCACATCTGACTTCACAGCAAGCAAACTCATCAGTCCCCCTATTAGCAAAATAGTGGTACTGACTCTAGCAATGGTCTCTTCCAAGTCTTGCCCATTCCTTCCCCCCCACGCCCGCCTTGCATTGGTCTCACCTGTAGAGGATGATATCATAGAGGCACCGGCCCTGCACGTTGAGCGCATGCGTGTACTGAGCGCGTGGCGGGGGCGAGCTCTGTGGCGAGGGAGCCCCGCCCTCCGGGGGACGGTCCGCCCCACCCGTCACCAGTCGCTCCACGTCATTGGTGAGCAGCCCCTGCAAGAAGGTGGCCGCCTCGGGCCCCTGCACGCGCAGGAGCGCGCGGCTGAGCGGGAAGCACCGAACAGCCGCGGGTGGGGGAGGGGCGCCCCCGCTCAGCCGCCTCATCCCTCCGCCCCCACCTACCCACGGGCGGGGGCTGCGGGGCAGACCTAGCAGCGCCGCGCCCGCCCTCACCAACATGGCGGCGGAGGCCCGTCAGGGCAGACCGCCGGCAAGTACCTCTGTCGGACTCGCAGTCGCCATCTTGCGCGTGTCCGGTTGGGAGCGAGGCGGAGCGCGCGGCGGGGGGGGGGGCGTGGTAACAAAACGCTCCGCCCCCGCCCCATTAACTCCGCCCCTCCCTAGGTAGCCACGCCCAGTGCTCCTTGCGGGGTGGGGCTGTGGGGGCAGGACCCCCACCAGCGAGGGAAGGCCTCAGGCAACCCCTGCCCTCTGTCCCCCCCCCCCCCGCCCCGCACAACTGGTTCACTTCACACCCCCACCCCCCACCCCCGAGTCAGTATCGGGCCTTGGTGGCTCCCTGTTGCCCTGACACTGACCCCCACCTCGTGCAGCAGCAGCCTGCCTAGGTACCAGCTGCTGCTCTGGCGCCTTCCAGAGCGTGGCGGGTGGCCCCGGGAGAGGCTGGCAGACATCCATCGCATGAGCCAGTGTGGGGTGAGACTGCCCCTTCCCAGCAGCCCGGGATGCTGTCCAGCCATACCCCTCAAAGCACTTCTCAAAGGAGCTCAGTATTGCCAGTTGAGAGGTGGGGAAGCTGAGGCACAGAGGTGAGACTCGCCCGAGGTCACCCAGCAGACTAGTGACAGGGCAGGGTTTAGACCCCAGGTCTCCTGTGTCCCAGTCTAATGCTCAAGCTGCGAGGCCGCTAGGACCCAACTTTGGTATAAAACTTGGCACCTGGCCCATACGTAACCTCAACAAAGAGCATATGCTTGGCTTTCTTTGAGTATGTTTGGTTTTTATGTAGTCAGGATTAAATGGCAAAGCCTGTCCTGAGTAGGTGCAGTTCTGACATAAACACACTATGTAGAGCCATCTTCCGACTAAAACGGCTGGGATCATCTGTTTGCCATCTTTCTCCTGCTCTCTGGGAATTGATCAGGCGTGTGGCAGGGCTTCGAAGAGGAGGATGTGTTTTGGACCTGGAGATTTTTTTTGCGGTTGTTATTCAACATGTTTCTACGTATCTGCTAAGGAACTCAGACATTGATTGCATTGCTAGTAACTCTAGAGCAAGGATATATGGTTGCTGGGCTCACATAAAACCTACATTATTCTCCAGCTGTCAAGGAATTGAAGATCGGGTCCTATTTATATGTCATAGTGCACATATGGAACTGAGGTACGTCTTCTCTAAAGAAGCAAAGGGAAGTGCCTCAAGTAAAATCAATGTAATATTTGTGCTATGATTCCTGTGCGGTCAGGGCCTCTCCCTGCTTGTCCATTTCCATTGTCCCTCTGGATCTTCAATGTATTGCTTAATCTTTTCCAGACCTCTCTGTTGTTCCTGTTAATCACTGGAGCAGGTACATACAAATCTTCCTAAGTACTCAGTCACTAGTACACTGGAAAATGCCACCATTCAGAGGGTTAAGCTTTTCCAATGTTTTTTTTTACTTTTCCCTAGCTCTCTGCTGCTGCTTTTCCCTTCTGTTGGGGTCTCTCCCCACTATTCTTTTAAACACCTCTTCCTCATATGCTCCCTGAGCCTTGTTTAATTCTCTCTTTGATTCTGCTTCCTGACTTTCTGCGTTTTAATGCTCTGCAAGTTGCCTTCCTGGATGCCTGACTCTTCATGAAAAGAAAAGGAGTACTTGTGGCACCTTAGAGACTAACCAATTTATTTGAGCATGAGCTTTCGTGAGCTACAGCTCGCTTCATCAGATGCATACCGTGGAAACTGCAGCAGACTTTATATATACACAGAGAATATGAAACAATACCTCCTCCCACCCCACTGTCCTGCTGGTAATAGCTTATCTAAAGTGATCAACAGGTGGGCCATTTCCAGCACAAATCCAGGTTTTCTCACCCTCCACCCCCCCACACAAATTCACTCTCCTGCTGGTGCTAGCCCATCCAAAGTGACAACTCTTTACATAATCAAGACTTGATTATGTAAAGAGTTGTCACTTTGGATGGGCTAGCACCAGCAGGAGAGTGAATTTGTGTGGGGGGGTGGAGGGTGAGAAAACCTGGATTTGTGCTGGAAATGGCCCACCTGTTGATCACTTTAGATAAGCTATTACCAGCAGGACAGTGGGGTGGGAGGAGGTATTGTTTCATATTCTCTGTGTATATATAAAGTCTGCTGCAGTTTCCACGGTATGCATCTGATGAAGCGAGCTGTAGCTCACGAAAGCTCATGCTCAAATAAATTGGTTAGTCTCTAAGGTGCCACAAGTACTCCTTTTCTTTTTGCGAATACAGACTAACACGGCTGTTCCTCTGAAACCTGACTCTTCATGCTAGTTCTCCGGCATTTCCCAAGCTTTCTGCTGCACTCTAAGCTCTTTGCTACTCCCCCAGGCTTAAATGAAAACTGAGGTTGAACATTATCAACAGCTTCTTTGCTAACACACAGTGGTATTTGATGGTAATGTACAGAATGTTTAATAAGATTGGAATTTGAGTTATGTTACTTCACTCTGAAATAAAAAAATCCCCTGATGTATGCGTCTTGTCAAAATGATTTGCCAATGTGAAGGTGAGAGCTAAAAATCACCATTCCCTGGCTCATTAATACTAGACTAACTCCAGGGGAAATATATGCGAAGAGCTATGATAGCCTTGCTTTAAACTCCAATGCATTACAGTGGAATTCATCTCCCAGATTTTAAAAAATGTTATTGAGTCATCTCTAAAGGCTTATGCTCTGTTCCTCCTCCCCCTGCCCCAGAAGCTTATTCTCTGTTCTTCATACCAAGGCTCAGAACACATATGTTTAACTCAAGACAGCAAAAATTACCTGACTGAAGTTTTGCAGCAAAAGTTATCCCTTGTGATCTCAGCTGTATAATGAGAGGAAAAAATTTCAAAACTGGAAAAAAAGACAAAATTAATTTATTAGAACTATCAGAAGCAACTGAAAAGGAGGACTTGTGGCACCTTAGAGACTAACAAATTTATCTGAGCATAAGCTTTCATGAGCTACAGCTCAGTTCAGCGGATGCATTCCGATGAATTCCACGGTATCCATCCGATGAAGTGAGCTGTAGCTCACGAAAGCTCATGCTCAAATAAATTGGTTAGTCTCTAAGGTGCCACAAGTCCTCCTTTTCTTTCTGTAGAAGTGAGTACACAAGCCAGCACTTTTCTTTTACCGGTTTACTATCATGTTGAAACTGACAGCGCAAAAACTCTGCAAGTGTAGACATAGCCGAAGTGTCAGCTTCACTCTGCATTTCCCAGCCTTCATCTCTTTCAATCAACCTCTTGAATGCGATGTTGGCTGAGTTAGTTTGTATTTAAATGTAAATTATGTCGGTCCCAGCGTGAATGTAGAATCAGCTTTTACAGTTACACCACAAGAGCCTTAGCTCACAAAAAGAAAAGGAGTACTTGTGGCACCTTAGAGACTAACCAATTTATTTGAGCATGAGCTTTCGTGAGCTACAGCTCACTTCATCAGATGTTTACCGTGGAAACTGCAGCAGACTTTATATACACACAGAGAATATGAAACAATACCTCCTCCCACCCCACTGTCCTGCTGGTAATAGCTTTTCTAAAATGATCAACAGGTGGGCCATTTCCAGCACAAATCCAGGTTTTTGGATTTGTGCTGGAAATGGCCCACCTGTTGATCATTTTAGATAAGCTATTACCAGCAGGACAGTGGGGTGGGAGGAGGTATTGTTTCATATTCTCTGTGTGTATATAAAGTCTGCTGCAGTTTCCACGGTAAACATCTGATGAAGTGAGCTGTAGCTCACGAAAGCTCATGCTCAAATAAATTGGTTAGTCTCTAAGGTGCCACAAGTACTCCTTTTCTTTTTGCGAATACAGACTAACACGGCTGTTCCTCTGAAACCTTAGCTCACAGTGTCACCTGGGACCTTGTGGAGCTGATAGGACAGAGTCCCACAAACTGTGGGGTGTGCCCCCCTAAGGGGGAATGGAGGAATGTTCAGGGGGGCCTGGGCCAGCCCTCACAGGGGGCAGAGAGGGAGTGCAATGCTGAAAATTGTGGGGACCACTGTGATAAGAGGCATATCAGGGCTGCAGCCACGCGTGAGCTTCACAATGCTAGTGTTCCACTGAACTCAAAGGCATAAAAGAGAATGATCCTGCAGGTGCTGAGTGCATCTCCCCTCCGCTGCTTGATGGGGAGCAGACCTTGACCTTAAATGGTGCATAGCCCTAGTATTGGTGTAGGAGCAGGATTTTATAATCGTACTGTGAGAATTAACGTATGATATGATTTCATCCTTCCAGCAACCCTTTTTGAATAGCAGAAAGGAATGACCCTCTGGGACATTGGTAGAAATGCATCTGACAGACTGCCAGTGTCTATACTATGTTAAGGCAGGGACAGACCAGAACAATCCTTATGACTGATTATGGTCACCCTTTTGTTTTAGGATAAGTTATAATGTCTACTATGAAAAGGAGTACTTGTGGCACCTTAGAGACTAACAAATTTATTTGGGCATTAAGGTGCCTAAGAGCATTAAGGCTCTAAGGTGCCACAAGTCCTCCTTTTCTTTTTACGAATACAGACTAACACGGCTGCTACTCTGAAAAATGTCTATGGTTTCCTATATGTATTACAAATTAGGCACTCTAGTTAAATATACATGTCTTGGTTTAGTAAGTAAGAGACAAGATCTTGTATTGTGTCTATGTTAAGGAGATTAGAGGAACGTTGAAGGCCTGGGCCCCTATATGAATTGTTTTGATTATAAGATTTAGGAAGGCTTAATTTACAATGTCTTGCTCAAAAAACTGACACTATGTGTATTCTCAAAGGTCTCTGTAAAAGACTGTTTGTGTGAATGAGGAATGTATGCATCAGGAAAAGATAAGGTGTGAAGGCCATTGTTATAGCCAGATGGTCAAGGAAGGATGAAGAGACTTAACAACACCACAGAACCATCAACGTGCATCCATAATGAAGGAAGGGCAGACTGATGACCCTGAGGTGGAGGCTGGCACCGCTAAAGACAATTGATTAAATCAAAACCAGGTCAGGATGACCCTCTCAGAGGTGTTTTGGAATGTTAACATAGAAAGATACACCAATTAAGATTACAGACCTAAAAGTAAAAAGAAAAGGAGG